AAAAAAATCACAGGCGTTGTCCCAGCTGCAAGGTAATATAAGAAATGTGACTAGGGTCCCGCCTCCACATGCTTAAAGGAGGTTGGAGTGGGTGTTGGAAAGGGTATCACCTGTATCCTGCAACCCACCCCCCCATCCCTCCTGAGACGCATAAGGATCCTGTTCTAGTTATCATGGTAGAGAAACAAATTATCCCAAAGATTAGCAGGTTCACACAGCCATTTTATTTTTCTCATAGTTATCATTTGGGTCTCTGTGTAGTTGCAGTCAGATATTGGCTAGGGCTGTAGTTGTTTGAAAACTCAGCAAGGATGTGTTTTTCTGATGGTCCACGCACATGGCTGGCATTTGAAACATCTCTTGTAAACTAAGACCTCTATAGTGGCTTGCTCACGCGGCTTAGGATTCCTCATATGTGACAGCTTAGGGTTCAAACCATGAGTGTTCTGGTGTGCAAGGAAGAGTCTCCATTGCTTTTTTATGAAATACCCTCAGAAATCACAGATCATCACCTCTGACGTATTCTATTAGTCTCAATAGTCCCTCAAACCTAATTTCAAGTTAAGGAGATGTAATTTCTACATCTCAATGAAAGAAGCTTCCCAATTCGTAAAAACATAACAAATCCTTTTCCCACACTTAAATTTCTAAACAAAAAACCTATAATAAGGCCAGGTGTGGTGGCTCACACCTGTAATCCTAGCACTCTGGGAGGCCAAGGCAGGAGGTTACTTGAGATCAGGAGTTTGAGACCAGCCTGAGCAAGAGTGAAACCCTGTCTCTACCAAAAATAGAAAAAACTTAGCCAGGTGTGGTGTTATATGCCTGTAATCCCCGTTAAACCAGTAGGCTGAGGCAAGAGGATCACTTGAGCCCAGGAGTTTGAGGTTGCAGTGAGCTATGATGATGCCACTGCACTCTATCTGGAGTAACAGAGCAAGACCCTATCTCAAAAAAAATCTATAATAAAATGTTCCCTTTTGGTTAATGCTGCAATCTATCCCTCTATGTATGTATGTATGTATCTCTCTATATATTTATATATATTCATCTTCTCTCCAAAAGGAGAAGCTCATTATTTCTCAGTCACTGCATGTATCTTTAAGAGATGAAAAGAAAGGAGAAAAAAATTTTATACTTGAAATATCGATCTATCTAAATAAGTTACAAAATATAAAAATTATAGATGACTGCAGATACCCTCATTGTTTAAAGGGTTCTTAAGACTTGGTTGATTTTTATAACATTCCTTTTTCATCACCCATCCTTTTACTATTTATTATTATCTCATCATATCCATGTTTTGTATTTGGAGGTGGAGGGGAAGTTACTGAAATTTTTCTTCCTGAAAGTTGAAAGCTCTTGGTTCTCCTGCCAGTTTGGATATTTCTGGTCTACTAATGCACATGGCAGGACTGAAATGTACTGTGATACTACTGAATTGATAAATACTACTCCCTATTCTGATTTTGTTGTAGCAAACATATTAAACCTTGATTTAAAGGATCAGGCACTAAACTAACAGAATAACGCCATCTTTGGGTCACTGATCTGGTGGCCTGAGTGTCATAATATTGCTTGATGGGAGTTTTAATTTTCAGTTTAGAGATCTCATTCTTAAGTCCCTGGAGAAGCATGACATCCTCTAGTACCAAATTATCAAAACATGACACCAAAGTTGAAAGAATGAGAAGCATAATTTTTTTTTATTTAACTGTTTATTATTTTATAAGATTTAAACATTCATATGATTTTCAGAGGAACCACTATTTATTACATCTCTTAGCACCAGAACACATAGACTCTGGCAATAGAGAGTAATACCACACAGAACAAAACCCCAAATTGACAAGATTTTCTTTTTTCCTCACATATTTGAGACTAGTTGATTTTTCGCTAGTCTTTCCTCTCATTCGCTAAGAGCAGAGGCTTCTGGTGAATTAATGAATCTTGTGTCAGTTAGTTGCCTAATTTATTTTATGGTAGAAATGAATTTCTTGATCATAATAAATGTGTGTGAAAACCTGATGGTGAATAAAGTATTTAGTAAGTCAATTAAAGCTCTGTTTATTGCAACTGGGTGGACAGAAAAGGCATAATTATTTCTAAACAAATGTTTATTAGTCAGGAAAAAATATGAACTCTCCTTGAAAAAGGAATGTCCAATGTAATTCTCCTACTAGGTGGCTGACTGACTCCCCCAAGATATGGCACCATATTGATAGTAATTTGCAATTTGCTGATTGGGCAATTAACATTGCCGGCATTCGGTATACTTTAATGTGAGGAAGTCCTTCCTATTGATTCAATGCATAATCTGTCCCTGACACCATGGCCACACTGTATATGAACCCATTCAGCAAGAGCTGGGATGGGAAGAAGCTGATTGATATCCTTAAGATGGGGTACCTTGTCCATCCGATTATTGAGAGCCTCCTTTACGGAATGTTCACATCAGCCACAAATATTTTCACTCACTAAGGCCGTCCAGTGAGGTCCATCGGCATTCCTCTTCTACAACTGTCTTGTAATCAATACTCCAATCTTGTTCTTTGCAAATTCCTCATTATTTGCATAAACCATGAGCTACTGCCCATGAATCACCACATATTTGTAATTTCAGTAATCCCTAACTCCAGACCAAATGGAAAAACAATGTGTAACACTTGACGTTTTACTTATTGCCAACATTTTCTTTCACTGCACTCTCCCCAGCTATCCTTTTCAACTGTAGCATTCCACTTCTGGATCACATTTTTTTCTCTAGGGAATCCTAATGAGATTATGAATGTGGGTTCAATGAGAAGTGGCAGGAGTAAACACACGGGGACATTAAAACCTGTTCAAGCTGAGTCTTGAGTATAACACACTCCGTTGCAAAAAAGATGCTTCTGGGTGTGATTGGCTTTACAAGTTTTGAATGAACTAACACCAAGTTTATGATAAGAAGTTCTGGACTGATAGTCACTTGTTCCATCATCAGGTTTTCAATATCTACCATGGCACAATGACAAGCTAAGAATCATTTCTGGTCACTTGAAACAAAGCCTAACATAGCTTCAAAATCTAAGCAGCCACTGCTCTGACTTCCCTACCAAGCTTAGGATAGGCTTCATGAATCATCCTGATCAGACAGGCATTTTAAGCATCATCACATTCAGCGGCTAATAAGGGCTGGGTGGAAACAGTCTTTCAGTAGATCAAGTCTCAGCCAGCTGGAAAGCCTTTTCTTGCGCTCAGTCCAACTCAAAAACTGGCAGTCTGATGAGCCACTTAGTAAATGTGTCAGAGCAATGCAATTAAATATGATACCTGTTCTCTCCAGAACCCAAAGAGGTCTGCCAACCACTATGCCTCTTTTTCAGTATAAGAAAAAGTAAATTGAAGCAACTTGTCCTTTCTGTAGGAGGTATCCTGACATGCCTAAAACTACAGATGCCAGAAACTATCAGATGCCTGTACTATTATAGAATATCACTACTGAATTCTGACATCTAGAATACTACTTCCTGATCAACAGGTACCTTCAGCAATAGGACATCCTGGTATAAACATGTCATGTCCTATGATGTGGTGAGGTACTTAAGGCTTCTACAGACTAAATTATGGCCAAAAAGCAGAGTGTTTGCATAGATCAAAGCATACCAATGAAAATTTATTGTTGTAGTTCCTCGAGAAAAGCAGAATGCCTCTTCAGTTCTTCTGATTATTGGGATATAGGAAAAAAAAATAACATCTAGCAGATCAATAGCTGTATAATAGGTATTAGAAACCATTTTAAATTATTGCAATAAGAATGAAAATGAATGTGAATGGTCACCACCTAATTATGGTTGGAATGACATTTTATTATTTTCTAAGAATCATTTTTCTTCTCCACAGGTCAAAATGTAAGATAAATAAGGGTCTGGCAAAGTTCACTTCTTATCCCTCTTTATTGCTTTTGATAATAACCCTAAGTTCTGTAAAGCCCCCAGGAATTCAATATTGCTTTTATTTACTATTTTAGTAAATATAGGGGAGCTTCAAAACCTTCTAATTAGCTTGCCAACCCATAGCCCCTCATTCATCAGGAAAGTGCTATTGGGATTTTGCCAGTGTCTTAGCATTTATATTCTAACCACAAACTCATGAACTGGGGAAATAACTATAGTGAGGTTACATAAACAGAATAAACTATTTATCACCTGACCCTCATAAGCCCTCACTATGATCAGTGAAGCACTATGACATTCTAGATCCAAGAGAACAGAATTAGTTTAGAGCCAGTGTTCAATTACTCTAGAGAAGTTTATATAATTTTCTTTTTCCAGTGCAAGTTGCTTGAGTAAATCAAAATAGATCTCTTAGGGGAAGACTAAGAAAAAGATATATTGTGTACTTCAGATGTCTGTATGGAGTTTTTTAACCTGGTGTGTGGTTTTCCCTTCACTCAAAAGAATCTGTTTTTAAGAGAAATTTCAGGTATAGGATTTTGGTGAAATACAATAAAGCTTTGTCTGATAATTCAATTTAGTACTCTCTCTTCATGAGATTTAGAGGAGGTTTTGGTTAAGTAAATAAAGTACCATATTAATGGGCTAATATATTTCCTTAAGGATGATATGCTCTACTAGCTACTAACAAAATCTCTATTGGTCAGATTTCTCAGATTATATCACATTTTCTTTGCTGTGTGGTTCAATAATCACTGCTTTTACAGTTAATTGTCCAATGTTGTATTTTCACCTTTGTAACCAGGAGAATCTCATCATTACTATGGAAATCAGGGAATGTATGTCAAAAGAAGCATCTCACTTTTATCCTCTGCCCACAGAAGACAGCCATTAATAACACACCTCTAAGGTACAGTTGCTCCCTTTGCCAATGACATTTTCAGTGGCTTTGTAAAGAATTTAGCCTCACAGCCCACTTACTGGATATCTTAGTCTGCTTTCTGTTGCTTATGATAGAATACTTAAAATTGAGTAATTTATAAAGAAAAGAAATGTATTTCTTACTGTTATGGAGGTTGAGAACTGCAAGATTGAGGCCACATCTAGCGAGAATCTTCTTGCTGAAGGGAAGTCTGCAGAGGTGTGAGGCCCTGCAGGACATCACATGGTGAGGGACCTGAGCAGTTCAGGTGCCTCTTCCTAGTCTTATGAAGCCACCAGAACTATTCCTGTGACAATCTATTATTCCACTAGTCCATGAATCCATGAATGGATTAATAATTCACAAGGGCAGAGCCATCATGGCCCAATTAACTCTTAAAGGCCCCACCTCTCAATACTGCCACATTGGGGATTAAGTTTCAACACAAGTTTTGGAGGGTAAAAACATACAAACCTTATCAGTGGGCATACCTGGAGTGCAGATAAATGAATGTCATATGATAATAATTTTCAATGCACTGATTGCAAGATCTTGCCAATCATCAAGTATGCATTAGTACTCTACAATGATCTCTATGCAATTCTCTGCCTTCTGCCCCACATGACTCATTTGCAAATCAGAGACTTGTAAATTCATTTGATTGGTATATCCTAACTCTCAGCTTCAACATAATCTACTATAGTTAGTTTTATTTCCCAATGTCTCTCTATCCTAAAAGGGATTGAGAGAACCAATCTACAGTACCCACCAAAGGTAGTTAATAGGTTTTTTATCTTTCAAGCTTGAAAACTGAGATTTGAACAACAGCACATGAGTGCAATTTGCTTGAAGAATAGAATAAACAGTAACAGAGATGCCACTTAAATTCATATTCAATAACCTGTTCCAATACACCATTCTATTTACCAATTTTTCATCATAAATAGTACCAGGATATACGCAGTTGATCAGACCAAAAATCTGAGTGGCATTTTTGTCATCAGATTAAAACCATTCCTAAAACCAATGGATTTGATTTGATAACCAAGTACTTATAAATTGGCTTTAAGTCTTTCTAATTCTCTCCAAGTCCACTATGATACTAAAAGGCACAGGTAACAATGTGGCTCCATGTAGGTGACAGGACTGAGAAGTAGAATTAGCACAATATGGTGATAGTATCACCTAGTCCAACATAGCCAATTTCATCACTATGTCTCTCCTGAAATTGTACACTTGCTTCCTCATTGAATGTACTTCGTATTTCTACAGATATTTCATGATATTTAATACTTCCAATATGAAACAAACTTACCTGTAAGAGCACACAGTTCTTGTAGGCATATCTTTTATCACAAGCAGAATTAACATGGGACTGGAATGTATATGATTCCTTAAACAACTCTCTCTGATTAAAACATGCAATTATAATAATTGAAAATAAAGAAGAAAAAATTAAAAACAAAACAAAACAAAACAAAACCCTGGCTAGTATCTTTAATTTTTCTTTCTTTCTTTCTTTTCATTGCAGTATTTTATGGAGGTCCACACGTTTTGGCTACATAATTTCTTTCGTACAGTTTGAGTCAAAGTTGTAAGTGTGGCCTTCACCCAATTAGTGTACATTGTACCCGATAGGTGTAAATTTACCCATTCCTTCCTCTCCCCTCCCACCTACTTGATTTCCCCTGAGTTTTACTTCCATATGTGCACATATATATTGATCGATTGGTTTCAATTTAGTATTGATTACATGTGTTTGTGCTTCCATTCTTGTAATACTTCACTAAGAAGAATGGTCTCCAGATCCATCAAGATTGTTACAAAAAACACTAGATCACCATTTGTTTTATGGCTGAGTAGTGCTCTGTAGTATATATATACCACATTTCATTAAGCCACTCGTGTACTGATGGGCACTTGGGTTGTATCCACATCTTTGTAACTGTGAATTGTGGTGCTATAAACATTCGAGTGCAAGTGTTTTTTTTGTTTTTTGTTTTTTTTTTTTTAATAGGAAGTCTTTTTTTTCTTTGGGTAAATACCCAGTAGTGGGATTGTTGGATCTAACGGTAATTCTACTTTTAGTTCTTTGAGGTATCTCCATACTACTTGCCATAGAAGTTGTACTAGTTTGCAGTCCCATTAACAGTATATAAATGTTCTTACCTCTCTGCATCCTTGCCAGAATCTGTTGTTTTGAAATTTTTTTATAAAAGCCATTCCCACTGGCATTAAGTTATATCCCATTGTGGTTTTGATTTGCATTTCTCTGATGATTAGAGATATTGGAGAGGAGTATTTTCTGATGTGGAACAAAAACTATTCAAAAGAAGACAAATGCCCACCTCATATCTTAATAATGCAAATTCTTCTATCTTTAAGATTCTTGGTTGAGTTTTAGGTTAAAATATTGCCCTCTTTCTTCTTTCATTTTGAAGTCCCTTATTGTTTAACCTTTCTTGTTTTTTTCCTCAATTGTTTCTTGGCTTTCATTTACTAATTTTCAACAGTGTCCATTCTGGTTGGCCAGGAGTAAAGAATAGACCTAGAATGCATTTTATGGGTCAATCAGACACTATTAAATTGGTCCACTTATACCTCTCTGAATGTTATTTTGCTAATAAAGTCACAGGATTCTGCCTTATTTTCTTTTTTGAGTTTTGTTTCTAGCTATCATTACATTCTATCACTGTTTGTACCATACCAAAAAAGGAAGGATGATAGAATAAAATATTTTTTCCACATATTAGCTATATAGGGTAAAACATATAGAACAAATATATCTAGAGAAAATATTTTCATTTTAGAACTATTATACTAAATTTCTATCAAGGCCAAGCTGAAATTGTATTAAAGCCTTTTGACTCAAAATGATCTAACTCATTTAATAATTCCTGACCATTTATTGTTAGTGTGCTTTAAGATAATCCTGATTGATGTTTGTATTATCTTTTCACATATAGCTATTTAAGTAATAAGTAATAAACTTTGTAAAGGAAAATATTATATTTATTACCAAGCACAATGGAATTTGCAAGCTTGATTATATGTTTTTAAACTTTTGCTCTATAATAAAGTTTTAAAAATGCTAAACAATCAACAAATGGTATGTTTATTATTTTTTATTTTATTTTATTTTATTTTATTTTTTGCAATCACACAAGAGGAGGTTTATTTTCTGGCTAGCCAGGGTCCAAGCCCCAGAGCACCAATGCAGTGGCCACTCTCGCAGACAAGGACCCCGACTGGAACAATGGCATGCCTTTTATCCCCATGGTGCACAAGCTGCGCACAAGCTGACTACGCATGGATCATGCGTTGACCTTCAAAATGATTGGTTGCCCACTATTGCCTTTTGAAATAATTGGCTGGTTGGTTGCCCTCTATTGCCTGATGGGCTAGTCACCCGTGCTTCAATGACCTCATCCCATAATTCCCCATACAGTGGTGTAGCAAGCAAGCAATGACCAGAAGCAAAAGTTTGCGGTTAGCTCATTGCCCCACCCAAGTAAATTCCCGACAATTGGAAAAATTCCTCTCCCCTTCCTCTGTCCTACAAATTCCTCTGCCCTACATTCCCCCCTTTCTCTAGGTAGCAGACGAGCACTCCTGCTCATCCCCAAGGTCTCTTAGGTGCTCTAGTTCTATAGCACTTGACCGTAGCTGCTGATATTGTTGTTGCAATACTAGTAGTTGGACAGTGTTTATCCGTTCTTTCACAAAAGCTACTAGTCTATTAATTACACATGGCGCAAAAGTAAGGACTAAGATTAGCATAATGAGTGGCCTAGTAGGTGGATAGTAGCGTTGTTAACCAGGGGAACTGTTAAACCAAGACTCAAACCAACCTGCTTGCTGTTCATATTCCCGTTGCGGGGCAAGCCTTCCCTGACCTTAGCTATAGATTCTCTAACAACTCCCGTATGGTCTGCATAAACACATTCTTCTTTGAGGGCAGCACATAGTCCTTTGCTGGAGGAACACTAGATCTAACCCCTCCAGTTCTGGAGCATACCTCGGATAGGGAGGTTAGTGACTTTTTTAGGTGTGAGATTGAATCTTCTATCCTTGCAATATCTTCATCAACAGCTGCCCTCAGAATATTAAACCCTCTTTGCTGCATTGCCAGAGAAGAGATACTAGTTCCTGCTCTTATTGCCCCTAAGCCAAAAAGAGTAGCCAGGGTTATGGCTGTGAAGGGCTCTCTTTTTCTTTCAAAAAATTAGGTTGGTGACTCTT